TTTCATGTTCTTATAAAATTTAAATTGATCTTTGGCCCTTACTTTTCTTTAATCTTTGTCTTACTTGTTGGTTTTTACTTCTTCATCTGGGGTTTCTCTTCTCCAGGCTGATCCCATTTTTATTTATTAGTTTCATCCAGTCATCGATCTACCAGTGTTTCAGTGCTTGTAAAGAGCAGTCAGCTGGGAACGAAGAGGGAATTACTTTTGTCTCAAGGCTCCAAAAATTAACTGTGCAACCCGGGGCACCTCAGTTTCCCCATCTTCAAAATTAGGAGGCTGAAATAATTCATCTTTAACATCATTTCTAGCTCCAGCAACCAAATGACTGAGTTAGTTAAAGGACAACAGCTTTATTCCATTATATAAAAGATACTAATAGAGCAAATAATTAATTTATAACAATATGTGCAAAGGTAATATATAGTGTGTATGGATTAATAAAAAGCTAGTGAGTGTAGCTATGATGTACTCAAGTTACTTACTAAGTTGTCAAATTAAAACGTTTTCTAACCATTGAATTTTAAATCTGGCAATTAGTGCTGATGAGATGAAGTGTCTAACTCAGAAAGATTGTCGAGTGTGTGAAGAGTGAATGTGGGTTATATACAAACTTTACGTAAGCTAAGAAACAATTATAAGCTCTAGAAACAGCTGTCATGGGCAACCAGCCTAGTATCCAGCCTGCTAAGGGTACAATTGAGCGTATGCAGAGGCTAACGAGCTCCTGGAGTCAGCTGGACGCTGCTCATTTCTGCAGACGTTGGACAGTGAATCTCCCTCTGGAGAGTTGGGGCTGTCTCCCTCCGTGAGAGAGACTCAAGGATGGTTCTCCAGGAAGGCGTTACTTTTTCTTTTTCTCCTTCTTTTTTCCTTTATCCTTTTCTTTTTCTGCTTCACCTCCTGTCAGGGCCAAAGCTCGCTTTCTACCCAGAGGAGTTTTGGCATACCAGTCCTGAAATAAAATAGATGTTTAGAAAAATATGAAGATCACATAGATTCACCGGAATACTTTTAAAAATAAAGAAAAGCCTGTTAGGAAGGAAGGGGCAAGTCATCATTGCACTTTGGGCATTTAATGTGTGTTTAATACGGACTTTTGGCCAATGGGCTTTCCAATCAGTATTTCTGAATGAATGGAAAGGTCTACTCAAGGAGTTAACAGTTTCAGAGAATCACGGGCCAAATCTAACTAACAGTCCTGTCCAGCTAAGTTCCCCTATCTTCTTGGTGCTCTTTCTCTGTCCTGAGCCTGTGGGTTTTCTTGGTAATATGAATGGCCCTCAATGGTTCACACATGGACTCTAGAAGCTGGGCTGGTGGCCACGTGTGAATCACTGAAGGGGAAGACTCTGTTGAAAATATGGCATAAATACTGGAACCAAAATAACAACAAACTGTGATTGTAACTGGTCCTGTGACAGCATTTATCTCAACCTTTGCACTTTATTTAAAACATGAGAAACATTTCTGTTTATAAACTCTAGAGTCATAATATTTCACTGAATGACTATACTACAAGTTATTTATCAAGTCTCCATATTTTTTTATTATTATGGACAACATCATAGTTCACAGTTTTTACACACTGCCTTGCACACATGTGAGTAATGTGTACATTGCTCTCTGAAGTGGCTGTGAGTGGAAAACTATCTCTGTCTTTGTGTGTCTTAAAATGTTTTTGTTTTCTCCCTACTCTTGGATGCTAGTTTAGCTGGATATGAAATTTCAGGGAGCAGGTTGTTTTTCCTCAGCAATTTGCGGATATTATCTCACTGTCTGGTGGCATATAATGTTGCCAATGAGGCATTAATATTTCAATTTAGAACCCTGATGTGTGTGGTTGGGGCTTGGATTCTGATTTCTTAGGAAATACTTCTGTTGCTTTGATGTGACTTTAGGGGTTTTAATGATACCATATCATTTTTTTTTTACTGGTAAAATCTGCAGCTGGAGTTGAGAATATTATTTTTCTTTTCAGCTTTGCTAGAGCAGGGATCCACAAACTATGGCTAATGGGCCAAATGTGGCCCACTGCCTGTTTTGCAAACAAAGTTTTATTGGAAGCCAGCCATGCCCGTTCTTTTATGTATTGTCTATGGGTGCATTTTCACTACAACACGGAGTTGAGTAGTTTCAACAGAGACTGTCTGGCTCTCAAAGCCTAAAATATTTACTATCTGGCCTTTTACAGAAAAAGTTTGCCAGCCCCTTTGTAGACCATTGCTTCAGGATCACTCTCACGACTATCTTTCACCTCCCACTGAAGCATTGGTGGTAAAACCACAAAGGAAACACAATGTTTATATTTGGTGGAAAAATGATACATTGTAGAGAGACATTTGCCCAATCTTAAGTGGGTTTCCAGAGATAATAGGCCTACATGAGAATTCCAGTTCTTTTTTCTGGTGATCACATGGCAAATGTTATGGTGGCCTTGGACTACATGGATGGGATTCTCCTGCCTTGTCTTCCCAGTTGGCCAAGGAAACTACCTCCAGGTCCAGAAAGGGAGCACAACCGTGCTCATCTTGACTCAAGAGGAGAGCAGATAGGGCTGGAGGAGGGCCTGGGGCCTGGGCATCAGGAACTAGGGTTCTATCTTGACTGTGCCTCAGAGCAGCCATGCGTCTGGATAAAGCACACAACTCCCTGTGACTTCGTTTCCTTCTATAAGAGGGGGAGATGGAGGAGATGACTCTCAAAGTTTCCTCCAGATGGAAACACTCTATGAACTTTCCAGAAGGTATTTAAAAATTGGCAACCTAAATTTTAGAAAATTCTCTTGTGAAGAGAAAGTGATTACACTTTCTCTGGCAAGCATAGTGAAAAATGAAGAGTACCACAGTAAAGATGGGACAAAAACAGCATGGATGCATACTATTTAGAGAATGGTTTCGTCTAGGTGGAGTCCCTGGGTGGTTAACATGCTCTGCTAATAACTCAAAGGTTGGAGGTTGGAGTCCACCCAGACGTGCCTCTGAAAAAAGATCTGGAGATCTACTTCCAAAAAGTCAGCCATTGGAAACCCTCTGGAGCACGGTTCTACTCTGACACGTGTGGGATTGCCATGAGTTGGAACTGGAGTCCACTCAATGGCAACTGTTTTTTTTTTGTTTTTAACCTCTATGCAAAACTTGTTCCGTTATGTGAAATATGAAGCAAAAGCCAATGAAAACCAACCCAATGGTGGGAAGGGCAATCCAGTGGCTGCTAATTGATAGGGCCAAGGGCCATGCTTTTTCTAAAAGTTGGAAGACACGATTTGCTGCTAAGGTTTGAATGATTTTGGGATCCAAACATTTCTTTCAAGTTTTCCAATTTCATTGTGTCTGGCACAGTCCAAGGTGATGGCAGTAGGGAGGCCAGAGCAGGAAGGGGTGAGACAAGTGTTTGCCATGAAGATTTGGCCACTGTTATGGATTGAATTGTGTTCCCCACAAAGTATGTGTTGCAGTCCTGACCCCATACCTGTGGGTGTGATCCTGTTTGGGAACAGGGCTTCTGTGTTATGTTAATGAGGCCATGTCAGCGAAGGGTGTGTCCTAAACCTAGTCACTGCTGAGAGATGCTAAAAGCAGATTAGACACAGAAGCGAGCGCAAACAGGGGAAGACAGATGCCACAGGAAGAGCGCCCGGGAACCAAGCAACAGAAGCTGAAAGGGACGAAGACCTTCCCCCAGACCAGGCGCCCTGAATTTGGACTTCTAGCCTCCCGAACCGTGAGCAAATACAATTCTTTTTTTCAAAGCCATGCACTTGTGGGATTTCTGCTACAGCAGCGCTTGGAGACTAAGCCACCAAGGTGTCCGCTTACCTTAAAGCTGTCCTCTTCCTCTTGGTACACGGGATCCATGCTGGCTATGGCCGAAATGAACTCGACTGCTCTCAGAGGCTTGTGTATCTGCTGCCGGATTCTTCGGTCTGTGAGCACGCCTCTGACCACCTGGACGATGTGTCCCTGGGTGAAGCCATCGGTCACCTTTGCAAGGCAACTTATGTTCAAAGCATTCGTCACGACTCCTCCGTTTCGCTGGATGATTTGTTTCCACAAGACTGTTGCGCCCGGGGTGGTGGTGAAGACACAGAGAACAGGAGTTAGCGCACAGAAAGCACGTCAGGCCAGCTCTGGTACCAAGCTGCGTCTCATCGAGAAAGGAATCCACAAGGAGCCCATTCCACTTTATTTGTAATTCAGATGAACAGGAAGCTAAAATAACAACATGCTTTCCTCTTGGTAATTTTCAACCATGAGGCAGACACACTGCCGACCGCGGGCTCTGTAGATCCACCAGCCCCTTGCAGATTGACAAGGACAATTAAATCATGTCAGTATGGCTTTACTGTGGTACCTTTGAATAGGCTTACAATCTCTCCAAATCAGAAATTCACATAGGGTGCAGATGTGGGATCTCTGCTAATCAGAATATTTCCCAAAGAGTCTGGGCAAGTAGGAGTCTCACTTATATACTTTCTAATTATAAAGTCCACTCATAACATTATTTTTACATGTGGAATTCAAATGGGATTCCCATTTCAATTTAACTACTGTGGGGTTCAGTTCTTTTTGGGTGTAAGACACTCCAGTACGCACTGTATTAAACACAGAAATCTGACCCTATTTACTCCCCCCAACAATGGTCAACACATGTAGGTTGAGAGAAACCACTGGAAAGATGCCTGGTTGTCCTCAGGGACAGTGGGACCTGCGGCGACCGAGACAGTTCCGTTAGAATGAAGGGATATTGTGAAAATGAATAATGACATTATCCTGATGCTTACTTTTTAGAGATAGAATGAACTCCTCCTGCACAGCATTTAAAATCAGACCACATTTAGAGAACCACGTCCGTTCTGTAAAGAGCGCCCAAGAGCAGTAAGGGAGACCCTGTGACTAATGTAATTGCATCCAGACGGTGAGAAAGGATGAAGGGCATTCACAAGGCTGTCCACTTCACCCCAGAGGATGGTCTTGGCACCAGCAGGAGCTGGTCAAAGGTCTTGAAGAAAGAATTTTAACTGGGTTTGAGGGATATTAGTAACTTTTTTTGGTTTTATAATTTATTTTTTGTTGTTGTTGTTGAGAATATACGTAGCAGAACATACACCAATTCAATAGTTTCTACATGTACAATTCAGTGACATTGATTACAGTCTGAGTTGAGCAACCATTCTCACCCTCCTTTTGTGGACTGTTCTTCTCCCATTAACATGAACTCACTGCCCCCTAAATTTCCTGTAGAATCTTTCAAGTTGCTATTGTCAGTTTGAGTCCACATAGATAGATCTTCAAAGAGCACGATGCTTAAGCTAGATATTCTTTACTAGTTGAACGAAGCTATTGTTTGGTTTTAAGAAGACTACAGGGGATATTTTTGGTTTAAGGTTTAAAGATTATCTTAGGGCAGTAGTTTCAGGGGTTCATGCAGCCTCTGTAGCTCCAGAAAATCTGGATTCCATGAAAATTTGAAATTCTGTTCTGCATTTCCCTTCTTTTGCTCAGGATTCTTCTATAAAATCTTTGATCACAATGTTCAGTAATGGTAGTGAGGTACCATCCAGTTTTCCTGGTCTCATGACAAAGGAGGCAATTGTTCATGGAGGCAATTGTTCATGGAGGCAATTGTTCATGGAGGCATTTGTTCATGGAGGCAATTAGCCACACATTCCATAGCCTTCTATTCCTGACTCTGTTATAGGGAACCCAAGTTTGAGAAGGGACAGTGTTGACATGTCGTTGGGTTGTTAACCATTGTCATAAAACAATATGTGTACTAACTGTTTAATGAGAAACTATTTGTTCTGTAAACCTTCATCTAAAGTACAATAAAAAAATTAAAAAAAGAAAAAGAATCATCTTAGGTGAAGGGAAGGACAACACACAATACAGGGAAAGTCAGCACAACTGAACTAAACCAAAAGCTAAGAAGCTTCCTGAACACAACCAAATACTCAAGGGACAGAGTAGCAGGGGCTGGGATCTGGGGACAGTGATTTTGGGGGACATCTAGGTGAATGGCATAACAAAGTTTATTAAGAAAATGTTCTGCATCCCACTTTGGTGAATGGCATATGGGGTCTTAAAAACTAGTGAGCGACCATCTAAGATGCATCAATTGGTCCCCACCCACCTAGATCAAAGAAGAATGAACACCAAAGACATAAGGAAAATATTAGCCCAAGAGACAAAAGGGCCACATAAACCAGAGACTCCATTACCTGAGACCAGAAGAACTAGGTGGTGCCGGGCTACAACCAATGACCGCCCTGACAGGGAACACAACAGAGAGTCTCTGATGGAGCAGGAGAAAAGTGGGGTGCAGAACCCAAATTCACATAAACAGAACAGACTTAATGGTCTGACTGAGACTGGAGGAACCCTCCAAGCCATGGCCCCCGGATGCTCTGTTAACACAGAACTAAAACCATTCCCGAAGCCTACTCTTCAGACAAAAATTAGACTGGATTATTAGACTGGATTAAAATAATACTCGTGAATCGTGTGCTTCTTAGTTCAAGGAGATACATGAGACCAAATGGGCAGCTCCTATTTGAAGGCAGGATGAGAAGGCAGAAAAGGTCAGGAGCTGGTTGGACGGACATGGGAAACCCGGGGCGGAAAGGGGGAATGTGCTGTCACATTATAGGGATTGCAACTAGTGTCACATAACAATATGTGCATAAATTTTTGTACGAGAACTTGAGCTGTAAACTCTTCACCTACAAATTAAAAAAAAAAAAAAAAGAAAATCCTATGTATCACAATGGTTCGATCCCCAACCGATCAAGAGGATGGTGAGGGACTGAACAGTGTTTCATTCTGTTGTGCATGGGGCTGCCATGAGCTTGGGATGGAAAAAAAAAATCAGTCAATGGAAACCCTATGGATCACAAAAGAATATTGCTTGATATAGTGCTAGAAGATGAGGTGGATTGATCAGGAAGATGGCAAGGGGCTGGGCAATGTTTCATTCTGTGATATGGTTGCCATGAGTTGGAGCCAACAGGACGCTAATTAACTACAACAACAACAAGGAACAGAGAGAGGGAGGGAAACAGGAAGAAATACAAGAAATGAGAGAGATGGGGGAGAGAGGGAAGGAGAAAGAGAGACAGAAAGAGAGGAAGAGAAGAAAGGAGGAGGAGGAAGAGAAAAGATATTGAGAGAGAGGTAGAGATAGAGAACCACCCCCATCTGTCAGTCTGTCTACTGTGGTAGCTTGCCTTTTGCTGTGATGCTGGAAGCTGTGGCACTGGTGTTTCAAATACCAGCAGGGTCACCCATGGTGGACAGGTTTCAGGGGAGCTTCCAGATTAAGACTAGGAAGAAAACCCTGGTGATCTACTTCCGAAAACCAGCCAATGAAGACCCTATGGATCACAGCAGAATATTGCCTGACAGTGCTGGGTGATGAGATGGACTGATCATGAAGATGGCGCAGGAATGGGCCACGTTTCATTCTGTGACATGGTTGCCGTAAACTGAAGTTGACTGGATAGCAATGAACAACCACAAGAAGAGAGAGAGAAGGAGGAATTAGGAGGCGGGGGACAGGGAAGAAGAAATAGAGAAAAGAAGGGAAGAGACAGGAGGGGAGGGGAGGAGAAGAGAGAAGGGAAGAGGAAATCTGACCAAAGGGGAAGCAAGAGTGGATGAGCTCCCATGAAGCAAAAGTGTGCTGTGTGTTTGTGTGTAGAACCCTCTCCACGAACTGACTGTGGCTGAAGCTGCCAGCGCCTACCCATCTCCGTCTTCTCTCCTTCCTGGGCTAGAATGTGCTTTCCTGTCCCTTTAACCACGGTGGGCTATGTGACTCATTCTGGCCAATGTAATATGAGTGGAAGAAATGTTGGCCCCTTCTGCATCAGTCCCTAAAATCTCCTGTGAGATTCTCCACGCCCTTTCTCTCTTTTTCTTTGATGTTGGCTAGGTGCAAAGGAACCAGTGGAGGGCATCGAGGCTATGGAAGACAGAGAAGCTTCTAGATGAATGGAGAAGTAATTGGATCCAAAGTCTTCCTGTACTTTGCATGTAACATTGATTTGTGAAGCCAGGATCACAATTTATTACGATAGAAATGAGCACATATTGAACATGGAGTGGTTAATAAGCTAATAGTTTATAATACGTGGGAAGTAGAGGGTTGCTCTTTTAGCAAATAAAATTGACTAGGCACTTAAGATCAACTAGATAGGATCACACCCCCACTCCTTGCTCCATTTTGGTGGTTCTATTATAATTGGAGAAGATAAACAGAAACCAAGTCTGAACTAATCATCTTTAGCACGACCACTAATGCTAACCACCATTACCACATTATCACTACCGCCATCACCTCCACCACTACTGTCCCATGGACTGGGCTCACCACGACTGCCGTCATATCCATTACACCTTGTAACCTCTGTTTCCATCATGATTACCATCCTGCCCAGCATCACCACCACACCACCACCACTACCATCACCTCTGCCACTAATGCCACCATGACCATCATCATCTCCATGAACACCAACCTCCCCGGCATCACCACCATCACCACCACTGTCACCACCACCACCACCACCATCACCATCACTGACAACACCATTTATAACTCTGACACCACCATCACCATCTCAGTACTAAATCTCCCACCACTACCACCACCATGGCAGTGGTTACATATGGTCAGAAAGATGGGCCCTCAGTGAGCCCCATCTCCGGTACTCACACCACCATGTAGCTGGCTGCCCTTGAACCGGGACTGGCAATAGAGAGTGGTGAAGGTGACTCTATGTGACTTCTGAGGCTGGTCATAAGAATTCTTCCAGCTTCTGCCTGGGCCTCTTGGGAGGCTCTCTTGGAACCTGGCCACCATGCTGTGCAAAGCCACAGGAGAGGCCTCCCAGAGTCTATCTGGGCAGCAACCCCAGCTGAACTCCCAGTCATCGGCCAGCATCAACTGCCAGTCACAAGAGTGCGCCATCTTGGATGTCCAGCCCCATTGAGTCTTCAGATAACTACAGTCCAGCTGACATCTGACTGCAACATCATGAGATGCCTCAAGGGAGAACTCTCCAGCTGAGCCCAGGCAGCTCTCAGAACTATGGGAGGGAGTCAATAATTTGTTGTTTTAAGCCATTAAGTTTTGGGGATGTTTGTTGTGCCGCAAGAGATAACACAAACAACAACTTGCACCATCACCACTTCCACTCCTCAACCTCTCATTTGCTGCTCGTCCTCCACCACCT